TCTACAAGGCTTAAAGTTCCTAACAGTGTCGGTGCTTGTGTGTGCTGGAAGAGGGCAGGTAGGGCCGGGCCAGGGTTTGGAGTCCTGGCCCGGGCTCAGCCCCAGGCCTGGGCAGAGCAGCCTTCTTGGACTGTTGAGTCAACAGGGAGTGGAATCTTCTGTTGGTCAGGGTAATTTGCCGTTCACGTGTCCCCTCTTCGATTGGGACCCTGGAGACCCAAGCTAATGGATTAAGGCTTGAGGTGGGCACCTCAGGTGGGCACAGGAGGAGCCCCCTAGGCTGGCCCTGTAGAGAGGCGGAGGAGAGGGGGAGGTGGGCCCCAGACTGTGGCTCTTGTACAGTTCCTAGCCTGGATTAGGTAAGAAGCTCCAGGACTGGGAATTAGCCCACAAGGAGTCAGAGAGTCCTGCAGCTGGAGGGCAGGCTCCTTAGCCCTTGCCCTTGGATGCCTGCTCCCTTCCTGGCAAAGGGACGGAGCAACTCAGGCTGCTCTGTACCTGAGCAGGGCTGACCCCGTGGCATCTGAGGGTGGGGAGGGGCCACTCAGTCACTGGGCCCAGGGGACCCAGCCGAGGGTTCTCAGGTTATAAGAAGTGCCGCACGCAGGACTAGTAAAGGCTCATTTGGGGTCCTTACAGAGGTTCAGCATCCCCCAAACAGACCAGCCTTCGTGCCAGCCAGCCCGCTGTCCCCACCTCTCTGTTCCTTTTGAGGGCAGGGACAGCTGAGCATAGTGCTCGGCCAGCTGTGGTGCTCTCCCTCCTTGTGCCTTGGCCCCCAGTGCCTGCAGTGCCTCCCCGTGCTGCGGGGCAGGGGGCCGGCTTGGGGGCAGCTTGTCAGAGAGCAGATGGGAGCCTGCAGGCAGTGCCCCACGAGGGGGTCCCAGGAATGCCCTAGCCCCGCTGGGCTCCCCGCGGTGGGTGCGTCTGCCTTGGCCCGGCAGACTTGGGGGAGGCTCCGTCCTCCCCGCGCCCCTGCCTGGCTCCCCGGCTTCCTTCCGGCCCTCGCCAGGGCACTGGGGCAGCCCCCCGCCCACCCCACGGGCTCCTCTCACAGGCTTTGATCGGCCGGCCTCACAATTGGGTTTCAAAGCACTCACCGCCCTTGTTTGTGTCGCTCAGCTGCCGGCTGGGCTGAGGTTTCGGCGTTCTTAGGCCTGGCCTTTGAAGCTTGCTCTTATTAATCTTTTAACATCCCCCAACCCCACCCACACGGCCCACCCCAGCAAGCCTGTGGCACTCTGAGCAGCCTGGAGCGCCACGGGAAGAGTGGGCCAGAGCGCCCTGGCGGGCCACCGCAGCCCCTTCCCTGGGAGGGTGCTGGCCGGCCCTTGCTGGCATGCTTTCTGGTTGGCCTTTGGCCACGAAGTAGCCCCAGCCCCCATGGGGTGCTGTTGCAGCCCTGAGGCAGCACCCCACTGTCCAGGAGTCTGTCAGGGAGGTCTCGGAGACATGTACCGAGCGTGTGAGGAAGCAACCCAGTCCACTTTCCTGCTCCCTACCCACACCCCTGCCCCGGCCAGAGCAGCCAGCCCTGAACAGAAGCCCTGTGTCCACAGCCCCCTCCGGATGGTGTGGCTCCGGAAGCTCTGATCGGCTCTCAGCTGGGCTGTTTTGGCGGGTGGGAGGAGCTTATGACTGATGGGTGCTGGCCCACAAACGATGGCTTTGACTGGAGCCCAGGCCGTGGGTCTGGATACTTGCTTACCCTGAGGGAAGGACCCCCCCCCCCATCTGGGAGTGGAGGGTCAGAAGTGCATCAGAGGCTGACATCCTGACCCCGGACCCCTCGCCCACCGTCTGACCGGTGGGGTAGGATGTCTCTTAGTCACGAGATCACAATCAAGTTCAAGCACACATAGTGTGCCTCTCTTCAGCTGTGGAACAGGATGGCTCCTAGTTAGAAGCTTACTCACAGCCCAAGTGCACCAAGAGCTTTGAACTAATGGTTAGAAAGTTGACTCTGGGCTGGGCGCCAGCGGCTCACGCCTGTAATCCTAGCTACTCAGGAAGCTGAGATCTGAGGATCACGGTTCGAAGCCAGGCTGGGTAGCAAAGTCTGTGACGCTCCTGGCTCCAATTAACTATCAAAAGGCTGGAAGTGGAGCTGTCGCTCAAGTAGTAGAGTGCTAGCCTTGAGTACAAAAACAAGGATCTTGCCCAGGCACTGAGCTTAAGCCCTGGGACCAGCAAAAAGAAAAGAGAAAGCCCTACCACCAGGCAGGAGGTAGGTAAAGAGAAATACCAAAGTTCAGATAAGAGGCAGAGCTCCTCACTACTCACTAGTGCTTGGGCAGTGTGTGTGGGGGGGGGGGGGGGGGGGAGGAGAGGCTGTGGCCATCTGAGATCCTCCTGCTAGATGGTCTGCTGCCTGCCCTGAACCCCTGCCTCCCCTCCAGGCAAACCTCTTCCCTGCTGCCCTTGTACACTTTGGAGCTGAAGAACCAACAGGTGAGTATGGCCCTGCTCTGTTGACCCAGCCAGCCAGCCCCATCCCAACTCCAGACCGTGCAGCACCCAAACCAAGACACCCTAGAGGGCGTTCAGTCCTGGGCCCCCTGGGGTTTGGGAGACCTGCAGCCCTAGAACCTGGGGTACCTGCTGCATATACCCCCCCTGGAGTGAATGGAAGGTGGAGACTTCATCTGTCTGGGGGTTCTGTCCTCTGAAGCTTTCTACCTGGAACCGGGGCTCCTGGAACACACCGTCCCCCCGTCTGCTGCGGACGTGCTGGTGGCTCGGTGAGTGCCGCGGGCCGCGGGCGCCTCTGAGCCAGCGCCACCGTCCTAGCTGTGGCTTCTCCCCCCAGGCACGTGCCCAGGGCTTCTGGGACCCCACCCCCACTGCCAGCCCCCGAGCCTGCACCCCTGGAGTCAGAGCCACCTGCTGAGGAGGGGGCACTCCCCCCCCCAGAGCCCGCCCCAGGAACAGCCCAGCCGGTGAGAAGGAGCCTGGGCAAAGTGCCCAAGTGGCTGAAGCTACCAGGTGCCTGTCAGGGAGTGGCTGGGTGGGCAGGGTGGCCAGGCAGGAGCCCAGGGCCCTGTGGCCATTCTGGTGTGTTTACACTGCAGCCAGCAAGAGGTGAGCGCAGGCTGCCAGCAAGGTGCCCATCGCTGGCCACAGGACTCCACTCACCCACGCGAGCAGGAATAAAGACGCGCTTCTCTCAGCCCGCCCACTGACCACTGTCGTTTCTGCAGAGATGACCACCCACCGCCTACCCAACTCTCCACTGCCGCTCGGACAGGTCCTGGGTTCTGTGTTCCCATGAACAAGGACTCAGGGGACCCCCCACCCAAGAAGCCTGAGCAGGCCAGAGCCCTGAGCCCACTGGCTCTCTCGTTTGTCACCCTTAGGACAGAAAGGAAGGCTTCCCTGGCACAGTGCCACCCTAGTCAGGGCTGCCCCAGTGGCTGCGTTCTGAACCAGCTCCAGTCCCAGCTGGCTGAAGCCCCCGTGTCCCTACCAGCCAGTCCCTCTGTAGGTTTGACTTCTACCTAGTCCAGTGCTTAAGAATCCAGAAACCCTAGGCTGGGCATGTGGCTTAGCAGTAAGTAGAGTGCTTGCCTAGCTTGCATGAAGCCCTAAGTTCAGTTCCTCAGCACCACATACATAGAAGTGGCTCTGTAGCTCAAGTGACACAGTTAGTCTTGAGCAAAAGAAGCTCAGGACAGTGCCCAAGCCCTGAGTTCAAACCCCAGGACTGGCAAAAAATAAATTTAAAAAATTCCAGAAATCCTTAGCCAGGCACCAGTGGCCCATACCTATAATCTCAGGAGACTGAGATCTGAGGATTTCAGTTCAAAGCCAGCCTGGGCAGGAAAGTCTGTGAGACTTATCTCCAATAAACTATTCAGAAAAGGCAGGAAGTGGCGCTGTGGCTCAAGTGGTAGCCTTGAGCACAGAGGCCCAGAAACAGCACCCACGCCCCCGAGTTCAACTCCAGGACTGGCAAAAAGAAAAAACCTAGAAATCCACCAGAATGGTTAGGACAACCATGACAACCATCTGGGCACTGGCTTTGCCCACCCTGGACCAGTGGGACTCGGTCCTCTGGCTGCTGCCTCTGAAGTTCCCCCAGGTCAGCTTGAGCCCGAGGGATGTAGGGTTGTCCCTTCTGCCCCTGGCCGGACACGCACACCCACCCTAGTCTGTGGGAGCCAAGCAGCTCCGTAGGGAAGCCCAAGTCATCCTGTCCTATGGGACAGTATAGGTCCGGGAGGCAAGGGGCTCTGAAGACTGGCTTGCTGGGGCCCGTGCAGCGCCCGCCAGGCCTGGACAGCCTTGGAGGTAGCCAGTGGGCACAGCCTGTGCGTAGGCAGCCTGGGGCAGATGGGAGGCCCTTCACTGTAACATGGCCTCAGGGCCTCCTGAGGCTCAGGCCTGGACATTTGGTTGTTGGGTCTCTTGCCCTGCTGTCTGCCTGCTCCTCCCTCCACCAGGGGGCCCTACAGACCCCACTCCCCCCATCAGCGGCAGCTGCCGTGGCAGTAAGTTACCAAGCAAACGGGGCCACATGTGGGAAGGCCTGCAGGCAGCCTGTACACACGTGCTATTCCCTTTCCTTTTGGAGACATCTGCCCTTGCCCCACTGAGATGGATGGTGGGAAAGGGCGCAGGCACTCCGGCTCAGCCTGGGAGAGACGCTGAGTTACTGATGTTCTGTAAGAACAATTTTTTTTTTTTTGTCAGTTGTGGGGCTTGCTTGAACTCTGGGCCTGGGCGCTGTCCCTGAGCATTTTTGTTCAAGGCTAGTTTTCTATCACTTGAGCCATGGCAGCACTTCAGTTGTCTGGTGGTTAATTGGAGATAAGTCTTAAGAACTTTCCTGCCTGGGCTGGCTTTGAACTTTGAGCCTCAGATTCTCAGCCTCCCAAGTAGCTAGGATTACAGGCGTGAGCCACCTGCACCTGGCTGTAAGAACAGTTTGTAGCTCAGGGTGCTACCCTCTGAGGGGCAGATCAGGTGGTAAAAAGGCAGGCTACACATCAGCTTTGATATTAGGTGGCAAGAAAGCAGTGCTGCCATCAGCTGGTTTATTTATAAAACACTGTGGCCACCTGAGCTAGCTGTGGCCAGAGGCAGACAAGGCCCTCGTCCTCCATTCCCTGAGCGGCAAGCAGAGGACACCAGGAGCTTGGTAGTTGCTGGGGTCCTGGCAGCATCTAAGGCCGGAAAACTCCACACTCAGGTGGCAGTGTGCACCACGCCCTTCAGGCCACGTAGCTCAGAGGAAGCCCCTAGAAGTCCAGGAGCTGTGGAGAAGGGTGTGAGGGAGCGGCTGGGCACCAGTCTAGGACACTGTGCTGCCCTCCCGTACCCCACATACCAGCTGTGGGAGGACCTTCTCCAGCTGGTCCACATCGACAAGGGCGGCGTCCTCTGCCTGGGCCTGCCGGATCCCGCGGACAGCGGCTTCTGCCATGACGCCGGAAGCAGGGTGGGAGAAGCCCGACTGTACCCACTGCCAGCCCTCATAAGACCCAGGTCACGGCCCAGTTAACAGCTCTTTGGGGAACTAGGGGAAACAGTTAGCTTTTCCAGTGAGAAAACAAGATATCTTGGGTGTTCTAGTGCCAAAGGACCCTCAACTCACCTGTGACAAAGATCCTCAGCAGCTCTGCCATGAGCTGCAGGGCATCCCCGCTGACTGCCAGGAGGAAGAACAGGGTAAGGGGCAGTTCCCTGCATCCCACCCCTTCCCCACCCTCCAACGGGCACCCCGCACCTCTGGTCTTGCTGTCCCTGAAGTGCAGGTGCAGCAGTCTGCTCACCAGCTCCTGGAGAAAAAGGAAGGGATCAGCACCAGCTCTGGGCATCAGACTTCAACGGAGCATGCTTGCGGCTTCTGGCTCCACCGTTACCCCCCCAGGGCCCCTCCCAGTGTGGGAAATGAGGTGGGCTGGGCTGGGCTGTGTGGGGAAATGATGTCCAGGAGAGAGGGACTGGTGAGAAGGACTGTGGGAAAGTCTGCTGAGCTGGTACCATGTCTGTCCTGGGCATGGTATCAAAGGCATGTTGCTGTCAGAGGTAACGTGGTCAGGGCTGCTGAACCATGGAGCTGGAGGAGGCTGGGTCACATCTGGCTTTTTTTGGCAGGGAATAGAGCTGTATCTGGGTTGAGTGGAGAGGTGGTAGAGCAAGGCCCAGCTGTGGGACCTCCTGGGGGAGATGGAGTGGTGGGAGGAAGGGGTCCGGCCAGGTGCGGGGCATGGGGCTTGGGGTAAGACCCTGGAAGGATGTGCTAGCCGGTTGAGGAGCTGCGCTGGGCGGCAGTGGCCGGGGAGGTCGGCCTGAGAACCTGTGACGGCTGAGAGGCCACCGGTCAGCTCGGCGGGAAGTGGCTGGGGAAGGCCGGTGAGCCGCCACTGGGGGTCAACTACGGGTCCCGGGCAGAAGAAAGGGACGGATGGATCCTGAGATGCAGGCGCACAGCGCCGCCTGCTGGCCCCGCGCCGCCAGGGAGGCCTCGGAACCCCGGGGGGGGGGGGGGGAGATGAGGGCCATGAGGGGGGAACACCAGCCCCGGCTGGAGCGCCAGCCACCGCCCTGGAGCTGCCAGATGGGGTCGCTCCGCGCGCCGGGGGTGAGCGTGGAGGGTAGGGGCGCCCTCGCCGAGCGGACCGCAGCTTCCCAGTGCTGGGACCACTGACCGGGAGCCCAGACCCTCCTGTCCGACTATGCGAAGACGGGACCCCACCCCCCGGCATGGGCCAGGCCCTGGGATCTTACACACACACACACACGCACCGGCAGGGCAAGGGATCCCACACACACACACCCGGCAGGGGCAAGGCCCTGGGATCACACACACACACACACACGCACCGGCATGGGCCAGGCCCTGGGATCACACACACACACACACACGCACCGGCATGGGCCAGGCCCTGGGATCTTACACACACACACACACACACACGCACCGGCAGGGGCAAGGCCCTGGGATCCCCCCCCACACACACACACGCACCGGCATGGGCCAGGCCCTGGGATCTTACACACACACACACACACACACGCACCGGCAGGGCAAGGCCCTGGGATCCCACACACACACACCCGGCAGGGGCAAGGCCCTGGGATCCCCCCCCCCCCCCACGCACCGGCAGGGGCAAGGCCCTGGGATCCCCCCACACACACACGCACCGGCAGGGGCAAGGCTCTGGGATCACACACACACACACACGCACCGGCAGGGCAAGGCCCTGGGATCCCACACACACACACCCGGCAGGGGCAAGGCCCTGGGATCCCCCCACACACACACGCACCGGCAGGGGCAAGGCTCTGGGATCTTACACACACACACACACGCACCGGCAGGGCGAGGCCCTGGGATCCCCCCACACACACCCCAGCAGGGCGAGGCCCTGCGACCCCGGCCTGGAGGGCCGCTCGGGAAGGCCGGCGGCGTCCCTCCGGGACAACCCCGGGGCGGGGCGGGGCCCGGCTCCAGGACCCCGCACACCCCTTCCGTCGCGCCGCTGAACGGGCTGCTCTACCCACCTCCACCCGGCTGGGGGACGTGCGCACAGCGAGGGGGCCGGCCTCGAGCCCGCACAGGCGTCGCGAGGGGACAGCGGCGTGGGAGCCAGCCTCACCTTCTGAAAGCCGGAGCTAGCTCCTTCCATGGTTGTGGTCTCCGCCCGCGCTCAGCGGAAATCGGAGCGCGCCGACCCGTCAGCCAATGAGCAAGAAGCGCGCCCTTCTACAGCCCCGCCTTCGGAAAGCCAGCCAATGAGCGCGGAGAGCGCCCTCTCGGTTCTCCCACCTCTAGCGGGAGCGTGCTGCCTCGGCCGCTTCGGAGCACGGCCCTCCTTAGTTTTCATTGGTCCGCGGCGAGCACCTCCCCGCAACGCCTCATGGGAGTTGTAGTTCTCGTCGCTCGTCCCGGCGCGACCCGCTCTTCCTGGATACCGAGGCTCCCGGGGCCGAGAAGAGCGCGGCGGCGAGTCGGGTTCCGGCGCGAGGGCCGCCTGCGGGCCGCAGGGCAGGTCGGCGGTACGTGAGACGTGCCCGTCCGCTCCGCTCCGACTGGACGTCCCCAGGGCGGATCCTCCCCTGCCGCCGGCCTCCGCGAGCGGCCCCCGCGGCGTCGCGGGCCGGCGAGGCGGAGCCTCGGGGTCCCGGAGGGGCCCCCGCCGGCGGGGATCGCACGCGAGGCCCGGCCGCGGGGCCATGGAGGAGCTCCGGCGCTCCTACAGCCGCCTGTGCCGGGAGCGCGGGGCCGAGCCGCAGGAGGCCGTGCTGCAGCGGCTGCAGCGGCTGCCGCGGGGCCGCCTGGACCTGGCCGCGCACAGCCTGACGGCCGACACGTGCGGCGCGCTGGGCGCGCTGCTGCCCGGCCAGACCGTGTGCACCGAGCTGGTCCTCAGCGACTGCATGCTGAGCGAGGAAGGTGGGCAGCAGGGAGGCCCACTGCACTCTGCATCCACCACGGGCCCCCTCTGTCATGGCGGGAAAGCCTTAGCGCACCCCGATTGTGCGGTTCCACACGCCCTGGCCTGACCGGCTGCAGGTCCTTTCCAGCGGAGCCGCCGCTCCTCCCGCCTCTGCCCTGGGCCGGCCCGGGGCTCCGAGCCGGCCAGTGACCTCCTTCCCCTTACGCAGGGGCCGTCCTGCTGTTCCAAGGGCTCTGTGCTAACTCTGTCGTGCAGGTTCTGGATCTGAAGGTGAGCAGGCCGTGCCTGGGCGGTAGAGCGGGAGGTGCGGGAGAAGGGTGTCCCTGCAAGTGGACACCCAGACCCTCGGCCCTGCTCTGGGAATCCAGTGTGAAGGCAGAAGTCCCCTGGCTGCCTAGGGACGTCAGGAAAACCAGCTCTGCCCCTTGCCTGACCGGAACCTGTGGAACTTGGATGTGGTCTTTAAAGCCCAGCCAAGGCCACACTGAGTGACCAGCCAGGCGTTCTACCCTAGGGCAATAACCTTCGAGCTGCAGGGGCCGAGGCTCTGGGGAAACTCCTCCGTCAGAACCAGTCCATCCAGAGGTAGGGCCGCCGTCCCATCCCTTCCTGCACCTCCCAGCCACCTCTGTGTGTGTGGCTCAGCGTTGGCCTCCCAGGACATGGTCCTGGAACTCATTCCCTCCTTCAGACCCAGTGTCATGTTCCACACCTGTTGGTGAGGAGTAGGCAGTAAATCACTCAAGGAAGTCCCACCTCTTCCAGAGACCCTTGAGCCTGCAGTTCCCTGCAGCCCCTGAGCCCCAAGAGATGCCTTGTGTCCACTCCTCCTGTAGCCTCACCCTGGAATGGAACAGCCTGGGCACGTGGGAAGATGCCTTCGCCATCTTCTGTGGGGGCCTGGCAGCCAACAGTGCCCTACGGCAGCTTGACCTCCGCAACAACCAGATCAGTCACAGGGGGGCGGAGGAGCTAGCCCTGGCCCTGAGGGGCAACACCACTCTCCAGCAGTTAGGTGAGGCCCACTGCACTCTGCATCCACCACGGGCCCCGCGCTCCATCCCATTGCCCTTCCATTGCTCTGCTGCTGGAAAATCTGGCTTGGGCTCCTGCTTTGCCGGCAGCCACAGATGGTGCCCCAGAAGGGAAGAGTCCTAGGCTAGACCCCAATCCCTGCCACGTCGCTGGGCTGCCGGGTCACTGGTGCTGGCCACCTAGTGACGAGGGGTTTCCTTCCAGACCTGCGCTGGAATAACATCGGCCTCCTGGGGGGCCGGGCCCTGGTGAGCTGTCTCCCCAGCAACAGAGCCCTGTGCCGCCTGGACCTGGCTGGGAACAACATCCCCGGAGACGTTCTGAGAGCCGTGGGTACGGACGGCACAGTGCTGACAGCTGCTCAGTTTGGAGTGAAACATGAAGCTTTCTGACAGAGGCCAAGGCAAGGGGGTGGCTCAAAGCCCCAAACAGATGAGAGGGGCCAGCCAGGCACCTATGGCCAGGGAGTCCCAGATCTGAGGTCTGTCTGAAGCCGCCAGCCCAGGCAGAGAAGTCCATGAGAGTCACCTTCTGTGAAAAGTCAGAAGTGGCGCTGTGGTTCACGTGGACAAAAAAGCCACCAAAGGGGAGTGTGAGTAGCTAGCCTAGGCTAAGAGCTGAGAGGAGGGTGGCAGGCAGCCAGCTGGCCACAGCCTGGCTCAAGGCTCACTGTGCACCTGCTCTAGGGGCTCCCTGAATGCACCCTTGGCTCTTAGGATGTGTAACTGGTCATCTAGCTGGTGGGAAGGGGTAGGCCCCGGGGTGTACACCCTTTCAATGCCACTGCCCCCGGAGGCCACATCACAACTTGAGAGGAGTTCCCGGTATTTGCCCTGCCACCCCTGAACAACACCAGAGCTCAGATCTGGTCCCCATGAGTGACATCTTGGCCTCGGGCTCAGCAGAGCCACTCTTCCTGTTCCTCCTCCATCACACAGTACCAGCTACTAAAGCTTCTGGATCGGCCTGGAGTCCTGCACTCCAGGCCCCACCCTACACCCTGTGCTGCAGGGTCACTACCTCCCCTGGCCCTCCCGACCCACCCCTCTGCAGTCTCTAGCTCCTCACTGTTACGCCCTGATTCTGTACTGTGATAACTGCCATAACTGTGTGTGTGTGTGTGTGTCTACCATGTGTCTGCTGTGTGTCTGCTGTGTGTCTCTGTGTGTGCTGGGCCTTGAACTCAGGGCCTGGGCACTATCCCTTAGCCTTTTTATTCAAGGCCAGCACTCTACCACTTCTAGCTTTTTGGTTAATTGAAAGGTTTTTTTTTGGGGGGGGGGGCGGTTTCCATGAGGCTGAACTCAGGGCCTGGTTGCTGCCCCTGAGCTTTTTGCTCAAGGCTAGCACTCTTACCTTGTGAGCCAAAACTCCACTTCCAGCTGTTTTTTTTTTTTTTTTTGGGGGGGGGGGTTGGTCATAGGGCTTGAACTCGACCTGGGCACTGTCCCTGAGCTTATCAGTTCAAAGCAAGTACTCTACAACTTGAGCCACAATGCCACTTCGGTTTTTTGGTGATTAATTGGAGATAAGAGTCTCATGAAGCCAGGCACCGGGTGGCTCACGCCTGTAATCCTAGTTACTCAGCAGGCTGAGATCTGAGGATCGCAGCTCAAAGCCAGCCCAGGTAGGAAAGTCTGTGAGACTCTTATCTCCAATAAACCACTAGAAAACCGGAAGTGGCGCTGTGGCTTAAGCGGTAGAGTGCTGGCCTTGAGCTGAAGAGCTGAGGGACAGCGCCCAGGCCCAGAGTTCAAGCCCCACGACCAACCAAAAAAAAAAAGAGAGAGAGAGTCTCATGAAGAGCTGGGTGCCAGTGGCTCATGCCTGTAATCCTAGCTACTCAGGAGGCTGAGATCTGAGGATCGCGGTTCAAAGCCAGCCTGGGCAGGAGAGACCGTGAGACTCCTATCTCCAATAAACCACCAGAAAACCGGAAGTGGCGCTGTGGCTTAAGCGGTAGAGTGCTGGCCTTGAGCTGAAGAGCTGAGGGACAGCGCCCAGGCCCAGAGTTCAAGCCCCACGACCGACAAAGAAAAGAAAGTCTTGTGGACTTTCCTGCCTGGGCTGGCTTTGAACTGTGATCCTCTGATCTTCCTCCTGAGTAGCTAGGATTACAGGTGTAAGCCACTGGCACCAAGCTGGAAATATGAGTCTTACAATTTTTGCAGAGGCTGGCTTCTAACCACAATTCTCATGTCTCAACCTCCTGGGTAGCTAGGATTATAGGCATGAGCCACCGGCGCCCAGGTCATATCTTTCCCAGGCTATCACTTCTCCACCTGTGCAGAAGACAAAAGCTGCCCTGCCATGATGTTCCGCTTGGCCCCACAGAAATGCTTCCCCCCCCGCCCCCCCCGGGGCTGGCTCCCCCAGGGTCCCCAGTCACTGGCTTCCAGGGAGGAGGTGCAGAGCTGAGCCCTCTGACCCTGACCCTCCTGAGCTTGAGCACCCTCAGCCTGTGGCGAACACTGTTTCTTCTGGCAGAGCAAGCCATGGACCACAACCAGGACCGGCACACGGCCTTCCAGGAGAATACAGCGCGCACCCACATCCTCAGCAAGGAAGTCCAGCACCTCCAGGAGGAGAAGTCCAGGCAGGTGAGCGAGGTGCCACGGTGCCCTGGAGCATTCTGGGCGCCCTGGCTGCTGCGGAGGTCAGCCGCCGTCACTCTTGGGGCACCCCCCCCCCCCGCTTCCCGCAGCCACAGTCCAGCCCCCAGGCCTCCTCTCTGCTGCCTTGGTGGGTCTCTGCTCCTCCCCTGACCAGGGCAGGGGAGCAGGCCCAGCCCTGACTGTGCTGACCGGCTCTGTCTTCAGTATCTCAGCTTGATGGAGACGATTGATAAGCAGAGGGAAGAGATGGCCAAGAGCAGCCGGTAAGCGGCCAGACACAGGGGGACAGGAGAGCCTAGTGAGGCTGGGGCCCGGGGGTCTGGGTGGAGCCGAGCCCGTCCATCATCAGCCCTGGAACCAGGGTGCTGCGGCACAGATGCTGCAGTGTGTCCTTCCGTGGGGGCGTGCCCTCACGTGGGGGCGCAGGTGTGTTGGGGTGGCCGTGGCTGCCCAGCCGGGGGGTGGGGGCAGGGCCGCGCTGGGGCTTGGTCTCCCGAGCCTGGTCTCCCCGCAGGGCGGCAGCTGCGCGTGTGGGGCAGCTTCAGGAGGCGCTGAGCGAGAGGCTCTCCATCGTCAACTCCCTAAAGGCCAAGTAAGCGGGAGAGGATGCCCCAGCGGGTGGAGGCCGGGCAGGGCAGGCAGCGGCCCGGCCGGCACAGAGCGAAGGCCACAGGGCTTTGGTCAGAGCCAGGCGGGCCTTCTTTGCAGGCTGCAGATGACCGAGGCAGCCTTGGCTCTGTCGGAGCAGAAGGTCCAGGACCTGGGGGAGCGGCTGGCCGCCTCGGAGCAGGAGCGGCAGAGTCTGTCGCAGAAGCAGGAGAAGGCGCACAGGCTGGAGCAGCAGGTGGGGGCGGGAGGTGAGGGGCGGGCAGGGGTGGGCGCGGCTGCCCGTGACGCCTCGCCTCCCCTCCTCAGGAAGCTGCAGAGCGCGAGTCTAAGCTCCTCAGAGACTTGTCTGCTGCCAATGAAAAGAACCTGATGCTCCGAAACCAGGTATGGGACTGCGGGCCTCCAGGGAGCCAGGGTGCGGGAGACCGGGCCCGGGCACAGCTTCATCCTGGGAGCCAGGGTGCGGGAGACCCAGAGCCCGGCACAGCTTCATCCTGGGAGCCAGGGTGCGGGAGACCGGGCCCGGGCACAGCTTCATCCTGGGAGCCAGGGTGCGGGAGACCCAGAGCCCGGCACAGCTTCCTCCTGGGAGCCAGGGTGCGGGAGACCGGGCCCGGCACAGCTTCCTCCTGGGAGCCAGGGTGCGGGAGACCGGGCCCGGCACAGCTTCCTCCTGGGAGCCAGGGTGGGGGAGACCGGGCCCGGCACAGCTTCCTCCTGGGAGCCAGGGTGCGGGAGACTGGGCCCGGGCACAGCGTCCTCCTGGGAGCCAGGGTGCGGGAGACTGGGCCCGGGCACAGTGTCCTCCTGGGAGCCAGGGTGGGGGAGACCGGGCCCGGCACAGCTTCCTCCTGGGAGCCAGGGTGCGGGAGACTGGGCCCGGGCACAGCGTCCTCCTGGGAGCCAGGGTGCGGGAGACCCAGAGCCGGGCACAGCTTCCCCCTGGGAGCCAGGGTGCTGGAGACCCAGAGCCGGGCACAGCTACCTTCCATGCTGCCTGCTATCCAGGTGGATGAGTTGGAGCGAAAGGTGAAGTCTCAGCAGGAGCAGCTGTTTCTGACCAGGCAGGAGCTAACCAACACTTCAGCCGAGCTGAAGATGCGCGCCATCCAGGCTGAGGGTAGGCACAGGCGGGCCCGCACGGGGGCGTGGAGATCTGCAGAGGGACTCACTGGGCTCTTCCCCACAGAGCGCCTTGACATGGAGAAGAGAAGAGCCAAACAGAGCCTGGAGGACTTGGAGAAACTGCATGCCAAGGAGGTGCCATTGTCGTGATGCCCCGGCTCCCCCGTCTTCCCCTTGTGCTGGCAGGCTGGCCTGGGTGTGGTGGGGTTTCCCGAGCCCTGCCCCTAAGGGGACCCCTCATGGCCTCTGGTCTAGTGTATCAGGGCTGGTGGGACACAGCACAATGGCTGTCTCAGGCTGCTGTGTATTCCCCTGGGAGGCGCTCCAGCTCCCTGCATCGCTGGCAGGCACCCTGGGGCACCGGAGCTGGCCGTGCCCTCCAGCCCTGCCCTGCCAGGCCCTAGTAACAACGTGGATTGCATGAGAGGCGGGCCCAGGCCTGCTAGCCCTGTCCTCTGACTCCCGTGCCTGGGCAGGTAGATCACATGACTCGCCACCTGGAAGAGAGCGAGAGAGCCATGCAGGAGAGGCTGCGGAGGCTGGAGGCCCTGCGGCTGTCTCTGGAGGAGGTGAGGCTGCAAGGCCGGGGCTGGGTTTGCCAAGATGCGCAAGGGGCGCGGCCCCCGCTGGCTCAGCCCCGGGGCCGGCCGCTCCCGCCCGCCCCCGAGCAGCCGACCACACTGGGAGTGGGCTGCGGGCTGGCGGTCACCCTCGAGGGGGCGCAGGGATGTGGCTGGCAGTCACTCTCGAGGGGGCGCAGGGCTGCAGGCTGGCGGTCACTCTTGGGGCGCAGGGATGCGGCTGACGGTCACCCTTGAGGGGGCGCAGGGATGCGGCTGGCGGTCACCCTCGAGGGGGCACAGGGCTGCAGGCTGGCGGTCACTCCCTGCTGTGCAGGAGCTGAGCCAAGCGAAGGCAGCAGTGGTCAGCGAGCGCAGCCAGGCAGAGGAGGAGCTCATCAAGGCCCGGAGCCAGGCCCGCCTGGAGGAGGTGAGCCCCCACGCTTGTATGCACAGCCGCTGGGAGCAGACGACACTGAGGTGCCAACAGGGCTGGAGTCGGCCTGCGGGTGGAGGGTGCTGCTCTGGCCTTCAGCTGTCAGGCACGCCCCATGCTGCAGAAGACCCAGGAGGGGGCGGGGGGCGGGGAGTTGGCCTGTGTCAGGGCTTGTTTGGCACTGGGACTCCCCCTCTGCACTTGGAAAGGGGCGGGGTCACTCTGCTTGCAGAGGGCCCTTCCAGTCCCCAGGGAGCACTCAGCCCTGTGCCCTGTGCCTACAGCAAGAGAACCTGGTGCACCTGGAGGAGAAGATGCGGCTGCTGGCGCAGGCCAGGGATGAGGCCCAGAGCGCCTGCCTGCAGCAGAAGCAGGCTGTGGCCGAGGCACAGGCCCGGGCCGGCCAGCTCAGCCTGCAGGCCGAGGGGCAGCGGCGGCGCCTGGAGGAGCTGCAGCAGGTAGTTGAGCCTGAAGGGCCTGGGGCTGCTGGGGTCCATGGCAGGGCCAGGGTCTCACCCGCTGTGCCCACCAGGAGTTGAACAACAAGGAGCAGGAGAAAGTGGCAGAGGTGACCAGGGTACGGGTGGAGCTGCAGGAGCAGATGGGCCGCCTGCAGGCTGACCTGGTGGCCCAGGAGGTGCTGAGGGAGAAGGTGATGGCCTTGGAGCGCCAGCTGAAAGGTGAGCCTGCCCGGGGCGGGGCCAGGGCAGGCCGGCCGAGCCTCTCCACCAACACCCTGCTCACCCACCGGCCCACCCGTAGTGATCTCCAGTGAGCACCGGGCGGCACTGCTGGACCGCGAGAGCGAGAATGCTTCCCTCCGGGAGAAGCTCCGGCTCAAGGAGGCAGAGATCACGCGCATTCGGGAAGAGGAGGCCCAGAGGGCGAGCTTCCTGCAAAATGCAGTCCTGGCCTATGTGCAGGGGTCCCCCCTGAGAGCCTTGAGCCCCCCAAAATGAGCAGGGGTCAGGGGGCCCGGCCAGGCCTCACACAGGGCAGTGCCCGGGCAGCCGGCCGCCCCACCAGGAGGACACTGCCCTCAGGAAGGGCTTCGTCCCCCCAGAACACTGGCCGGTGCAGCCGCAAATACAGAACTTAGGCCCTCAGTGACACTAATTGTTCTAGAGCCTTCTTTCCCAGCAGGGGAAGGGCGTTAGGTGGGGTGGGTCGGTCCTGACCACGGGAGCCCTCGGGTCCCGCCCCTGCACCCTCTGGATCCCGTATGCACTGGGTCCCGTCCACACTCCATCCTCGGGTCCCGTCCATCCTCGGGGTCCCGTCCACACTCCATCCTCGGGTCCCGTCCACACTCCATCCTCGGGTCCCGTCCACACTCCATCCTGGGGTCCCGTTCACACTCGGTCCTGGGGTCCCGTCCATCCTCGGGTCCCGTCCATCCTGGGGTCCCGTCCCCACTCCATCCTAGGGTCCCGTCCATCCTGGGGTCCCGTCCATCCTGGGGTCTCGACCCCACTCCATCCTGGGGTCCCGTTCACACTCAGTCCTGGGGTCCCGTCCATCCTGGGGTCCCGTTCACACTCCGTCCTCAGGGTCCTGTCCCCACTCCATCCTGGGGTCCCGTTCACACTCCGTCCTCGGGGTCCCATCCCCACTCCGTCCTCGGGGTCCTGTCCATCTGCCACCTCCAGCTTAGGCGCCGACCCCAGGCCACACCTCCACCCTCGTCCTGGACAGGCCGGATGCAGCCCTGGCCCTGCAGACCCTGCCCTCCCCGCCCTGCAGGCACCTCCCTCCCAGCCCTGCAGACTCCTCCCTCTCCGGCCCTGCACGCCCCGCCCTCAGCCCTGCTTGCCCGGCCCTGTAAACCCCGCCCACCATGGCCCTGCAGGCCCCGCCCTCAGCCCTGCAGGCCCCGCCCACCCCAACCTGGCCCTGCACACCCGGCCCTCCCCACCCAGCCCTGTAGGCACCTCCCTCCCAGCCCTGCAGACCCCGCCCTCCCCAGCCCTGCTCTGCACACCCCGCCCTCCCCAGCCCTGCACACCCCGCCCAGCCCTGCCATGCACGCCCCGCCCAGCTCTGCACACCCCACCCTCCCCAGCCCTGCACACCCCGCCCAGCCCTGCCATGCATGCCCCGCCCTCCCCAGCCCTGCCCTGCACACCCCGCCCTCCCCAGCCCTGCCCTGCACACCCTGCCCTGCCCTGCCCTGCACACCCCGCCCTCCCCAGCCCTGCACGTCCCGCCCTCCCCAGCCCTGCACGTCCCGCCCTCCCCAGCCCTGCACGTCCCGCCCAGCCCTGCCATGCACGCTCCGCCCTCCCCAGCCCTGCACGCCCCGCCCTCCCCAGCCCTGCACGCCCCGCCCTCCCCAGCCCTGCCATGCACGCCCGGCCCGCCCGCCCCGCCCCAGCCCTGCAGACCCCGCCCGCCGCTCCCCGCCCCGCGCTCGGGGCTCGGCCGCCTCCGCCCCGGCTCGGCGGCGCTCGGCCGTCTCCGCCGTCGCTCGGCGCTCGGCGCTCGGGTCCGCGGCCGCTGCGGCGCCGGGCATTTCTCCGCAGCTCGGTCGCGGCCGCGCCCGCCGCCGCCCGGCCCCGCGCCCATGCAGGCCATCAAGTGCGTGGTGGTCGGCGACGGGTGAGTGCGCGGCCGGCGGGCGGGCGGCGGGGCGGGCGGGGCGGAGGCCGGGCCGCGGGACGGGCGGGCGGGCGGCGGGGCGGGCGGGCGGCGGGGCGGAGGCCGGGCTGCGGGACGGGCGGGCGGGGCGGGCGGGCGGCGGGGCGGCGGGGCGGGCGGGCGGCGGGGCGGAGGCCGGGCTGCGGGACGGGCGGGCGGGGCGGGCGGGCGGGCGGGGCTCCGGCCCTCGAGGCGCGGCCCCGCCCCGAGGCCTCACCTGGGTCGGCCCCGCCCCTGGGCCCGGTCGCCCCCCCTCGGCCCCGGGGCTCCGGGGCTGGGACCCGGCCCGGACCTGTCCGCACCTCCCGCGGGGCGGAGGCGCCCAGGCCCAGGAGCCACGTGGGCCGTGGGCCGCACCTCTGTCCGCAGCGCCGTGGGGAAGACGTGCCTGCTGATCAGCTACACGACCAACGCCTTCCCGGGGGAGTACATCCCCACCGTGTGAGTGACAGGGGGGGGGGGGGGTGCATCCCACCGTGTGAGTGATGGGGGGGACGGGGGGTGCATCCCCACCGTGTGAGTGAGGGGGGGGGGGGGAGGGGGGGAGGGATGTACATCCCCACCGTGTGAGTGACGGGGGGGGGGGGGGGGGGGGGGGGGGTGCACCCCACCGTGTGAGTGACAGGGGGGATGGGGGGGTGCACCCCACCCCCACCATGTGAGTGACGGGGGTGCACCCCACTGTGTGAGTGACGGGGGGGGGGGGTGCACCCCACCGTGTGAGTGACGGGGGGAGGGGGGATGTACATCCCCACCGTGTGAGTGACGGGGAGAGGGGGGGTACATCCCCACCGTGTGAGCGACTGAGGACCAGGGAGAAGCAGGGGCTGGGCCAGGGACTGGGCCAGGGCTGAGCCAGGCCTGCAGGCAGCCCCTGTCCTGCAGGACCTTCTTCAGATACCAGGTACGGCCCAGTGGCCCTGGTTCTGTGCCGTCTCTGGGGGCTGAGGAGCTGGTCAGGGCTGGAGACACCCTGAGCCCGGGCCCTGACTCCTGTGGCCTAGAACCCATGGACAGCCCTGGCCTTTCCCACTCTGCAGTTTCGATAACTACTCAGCCAACGTGATGGTGGACGGGAAGCCCGTGAACCTGGGGCTGTGGGACACCGCTGGGCAGGAAGACTACGACCGGCTGCGGCCACTCTCCTATCCTCAAACTGTAGGTGACCAGGGTAGGGGGCCGGGCAGTCCAGCTGAAGGGATGGGCCATTCTGACCTCCCTCCCCACCGCCCCCTCTATCTCTCCCCAGGACGTTTTTCTGATCTGCTTCTCCCTTGTGAGCCCAGCCTCCTTTGAGAACGTCCGTGCCAAGGTAGGGCTGGCCTGGGCAAGACGGGGTCCCTTGCCTGAAAGCAGTGTGGCCCGGCGCTGGGGGAGGGTATGTGGCATGGGAGGCATGAGTGGCAGGCCAGCACATCAGGAGGGACAGCAGCTCTCTGCCACAGTGGGCCTTCTGAGGGGCCCCGAAGCTTCCCACTGGGCATTCTGCCCCTAGTCCACCTCCATGCCCACCAGCCCCCACTATGTCCTGATGCAGTGGCCAGCTCCAGGCAGAGCTGGGATCCCCCCCACCCACCACCACCCAGAGGCGGGCCACAAGGTCAGAGCCCCGTCTTCACAGTGGTACCCAGAGGTGCGGCATCACTGCCCACACACGCCCATCCTCCTGGTGGGCACCAAGCTGGACCTTCGAGATGACAAAGACACCATTGAGCGGCTTCGGGACAAGAAGCTGGCTCCCATCACCTACCCACAGGGCCTGGCCATGGCTCGGGAGATCGGTGAGCAGCCAGGCTGGGAGGCCGCACTGGCCGGGTGAGGGATGGCCTCTCCCTGGCCCTCCCCCCACGCCCGCCCCTGCTCTGTCCTCAGGGTCTGTCAAGTACTTGGAGTGTTCAGCCCTGACACAGAGAGGTCTGAAGACGGTGTTCGACGAGGCCATCCGGGCGGTGCTCTGCCCGCCTCCAGTGAAGAAGCCTGGCAAGAAGTGCACGGTCTTCTAGAGCCCGCCCGCGGGGCGGCCCCGGCCCCTGTGTGCCCTTGTGTTGCTGTCTGGTGTCCCTGAGTCTGCTGTGGGGAGTGGTGTGGGCGGGGAGGGGAAGCATGGGGACGAGGCTGGGTGAGGGCTCCGCCTCCTCCGCCTCCTTTCTGGGTGCTCCTCCAGCCTTCCCCCATGGGAGCCAGGAGGGAGCGGGGTCTCCCTCAGGGCTGCAGGGGTAGGCACAGGGAAGCCCCAGGATGGGCTTCCCTGGTAGGGAGGGTGGAGGGGGGCGGTAGGGAGGGTGGAAGGGAGGTCTGTCCATTGTGTCCCAGGAGGGGGCAGTCCCTTCTTATTTTATACAATAAACGTTCTTCAACACCTCCTACCTCTCACTACTCGTCTTGTCTTTACTGGCGCCTAATTCCCCACCCCCGACATATGCACAGGGGTCTGTGCCATCCATAGCACCCTTGGCACACGGGTCCAGAGAGGAGCCCTGGGCCTGGCCACGCCCACTGCGAAGAGGCGCACCCTGGGACACGGGTCCCAGAGAGGGTCCCAGGGCCTGGCCACGCCCACTGCGAAGAGGTGCACCCTGGGACACGGGTCCCAGAGAGGGTCCCAGGGCCTGGCCACGCCCACTGCGAAGAGGCGCACCCTGGGACACGGGTCCCAGAGCCTGGCCACGCCCACTGCGGAGAGGTGCACCCTGGGACACGGGTCCCAGAGAGGAGCCCTGGGCCTGGCCACGCCCACTGCGAAGAGGCGCACCCTGGGACACGGGTCCCAGAGAGGGTCCCAGGGCCTGGCCACGCCCACTGCGAAGAGGTGCACCCTGGGACACGGGTCCCAGAGAGGGTCCCAGGGCCTGGCCACGCCCACTGCGAAGAGGCGCACCCTGGGACACGGGTCCCAGAGCCTGGCCACGCCCACTGCGGAGAGGTGCACCCTGGGACACGGGTCCCAGAGAGGAGCCCTGGGCCTGGCCACGCCCACTGCGAAGAGGCGCACCCTGGGACACGGGTCCCAGGGCCTGGCCACGCCCACTGCGAAGAGGTGCACCCTGAGACACGGGTCCAGAGAGGGTCCCTGGGCCTGGCCACGCCCACTGCGAAGAGGCGCACCCTGGGACACGGGTCCAGAGAGGGGCCCTGGGCCTGGCCACGCCCACTGCGAAGAGGCGCACCCTGGGACACGGGTCCCAGGGCCTGGCCACGCCCACTGCGAAGAGGTGCACCCTGGGACATGGGTCCCAGAGCCTGGCCACGCCCACTGCGAAGAGACAGGCCTGCAGGCGGAGGCCATCGCAGCGCCCGAACGGGCAAGGCAGTCAACCGCTGACGCTAGGTCGGGCCTCTTGGAGTCCTCAGGACGTCCCAGGACAGTGCCCATGTCCCCCACTTCCTTTAGTATTAAGAGGAAGTGTCAGGAAGAGAGGCCAGCAGAAAGAAGCAGAAAGATTTCTGAGCTGGGCCTCAGTGGCTCATGCCTGTAATCATCCTCGCCACTCAGGAGGCAGACATCTGAGGAGCCAAACAGGCAGAAAAACCCTCCAATTAACCAGGAAAAAACAGGAAGTGGAGGTGTGGTTCGAGTAGTAGAGTTCCAGCCTTGAGTGAAAAAGAGGAGCAAGCTGAAGGCCCCAAGTTCAAGTCAAAGTAACAGCACCCCCAAAAAAGGTGTGAAAGGTGGCCACCAGTGGCTCACGTCTGTCATCCTAGCTACCCACGAGGCTGAGATCTGAGGATCGCGGTTCAAAGCCAGCCTGGGCAGGAACCTCCCTGAGACTCTTCAATGAACCACCAGAAAACTAGAAGTGGCCCAGTGGCTCAAGTGGTAGAGCGCTTGCCTTGCATGCATGAGGTCCTGGGGTCGATTCCCCAGCACCACATAAGAAAAAAGGGGGAAGTGGCGCTGTGGCTCAAGTGGTAGAGCGCTAGCCTTGAGCTGAAGAGCTGAGGGACAGCGCCCAGGCCCTGAGTTCAGCCCCATGGCCGGACCCAAAAAAAAAAAAAGGCATTGACTATGAAGGTCAGTGTTGCTGCCGTGAGAATGAGAGCCAGCAATTCACAGTCCCCTGGACAATCCAGAGGCCACAGCCTTCCCTGAGGCAGACCGGGTCCGAGGTGCCTGGCAGAGTCACACTGGCCCTCCACAGGTGGTGGGCAGATGGTGCAGACTGGCTCAGGAAAGCTGTCCAATTTTCAGGAATTTTCCCAGTTGTTCAATAGATATTATTAGCACAAATCATACAAACATAACTTTTTTTAAAAGCAAAGTTAACAAATCAGTTCCAATTTTTTTTGTATCATCATCTGTGCCCTTGTTACTCTCATTCATTGTATCTAACTAAAGCAGGGGGGGGGGGGCAGTGCTATCCTCCTCCGCTTCTAAAGGCACTGAAATGAGCCATGGTGTGTGAGGGGAGTTTTACTCCACGGAAAAAGGTAACCTCTTTTTGGTGGTGGTGGTGGTGGTAGTGGTGGTCGTGGGGCCTGAACTCTGGGCCTGGGCGCTGTCCCTCAGCTCTTCAGCTCAAGGCTAGCGCTCTACCACTTGAGCCACAGCCACCACCAACTTTTTCTGTTTATATGGTGCTGAGGAATGGAACCCAGGACCTCATGCATATAAAGCAAGCACACTACCACTGTGCCACCTTCCCCACCCCAATCAAGCATCGGGCCTTTAATTTCTAGCTACCCAGGAGACTGAAATCTGAAGATTGTTTTGTTGTTGTTGTTTGCCAGTCCTGGGGCAAGGTTTGGGTACTGTCCCAGAGCTTCTTTTGCTCAAGGCTACCACTCTACCACTTGCACAGCACCACTTCTGGCTTTTTCTGTGTATGTGGTATTGAGGAATGGAACCCAGGGTTTCATGCATGCTAGGCAAGCACTCTACCACCACCAGGACACATTGCCTTTTGAAACCAGCCTAAGCAGACAAATCTGAGATACTCATACTGCACTGGCAAAGCACCAGAACATAGCTCAAGCTCCAGTACACACACACAGACACACACACAGATGTTGCTTGGGTCATTGGCAAACTAGTAAAGTTTGATATATTTCGTTCTTGCTTAATTTATGTTACTTATTAACTGGAAGGAAGATGAACCTTAACATCAGAATCACACAACTAGTTTATAAGCAATCTGCAGCTCTATAAGGCCAAAGGTCATCTTGGGTCAAATTCAGCACTCCCTTTAGGGACCATCTTTCTTTCTGGGAGGTCCTATCCAGTTCCTGCCAGGCCTGTAGCTCTCAGGTCACCTGGATTGCGGATTGGGTGGGTGTCTGTCTGCTTGCCGGCCAGATGCTAGCAGGGAAGTCAGGTGTACTGGGAGGTCGAGGGGTGGTCTCAGCATGGAGCTGAGAGGCTCAGCTGGCTAGGAAACCCCCGTCTACCGGCAGCGTGGACCCCGTGGTCATGCTGCTTCTGTCACTCAGCAGGAAGAGGATGGCGTCCACTACGTTCTCCACCTCTGTGGGCAGGGGAGAGACCAGGAGCAGATGGGAGGCTGCTCTCCTCCCTGCTCCACCCTGGCCACAGGGGGCTAGCCTGAGACTCACCAGCAAACCTGCCCAGTGGGATGCGGCTCAGCATACCCTGGGCCTTCTGAGGGTCACTCCAGTTGGCCCGGCCCATCGCTGTCATGACCACTGTGGGGTTGACCGCGTTCACCCGGATCTGCATGGGGACAGGCGGGGGTCAGCGGGGTGGGCAGGGTCCGTCCTCTGTGCGTGAGTCCTGGGAGGCCGGAGTCACCCAGCCCAGCTGACCTTGTGAGGCCCAAGCTCTAGGGCCATTGCCTTGGTCAGCATGTCCAGGGCGCTCTTCGTGGAGCCTGTGAGGAGCAAGGGTGTGGAGCCCGGGCTGGGGTGGAAGATGGGGTGTGGAGGGGGGCTAGGGATGGGGGCAGGGGGGAGGGTGAGTCTCTCACAGTAGACACTGTGGTTGGCCAGCGCGCGCTGGGAGGCCTGGCTGGACACGTTCACGATGGCCCCGCCGGCACCCCGGGCGATCATGCCCTTGGACACGATCTGAAATTGCAGAGGGGCGCGGGCAGAACCGGGCAGAACCGTTCTGCCCCGGTCTGCGGCCCGGCCCGTGGGCGGCGGCTCACCTGGGAGACCTGGATGACGGCTCGCAGGTTCACCCCGAAGGACCTGGGGACAGACGGTCAGCAGGAGCGGGTATCCTCCCGCACCCGCCCCGTGCCTGGCGGGCGCCCCCCCCCCTGCCCCACTCACGCGTCCAACGCCTCCTTGGTGACCTCCAGGAAGGGCTGTATGAGGGCCACGGCCGCATTGTTCACCAGCAGGTCCACGGGGCCCACGCGCCCCAGCGCCCGCTCCGTGTCCTCCCAGCTCGACAGGTCCACGCACACGGGCTCCACCCCAGGACACTGGCGCGGGGTGAGGCTCAGCGACCGCCCCGCCGCCGCCCTCCGCCCCGCCGCCGCCCTCCGCCCCGCCGCCGCCCTCCGCCCCGCCGCCGCCCTCCGCCCCGCCCCTTCCCGCGCCCCGCCCCTCTGCCGCCCTCCGCCCCGCCCCGCCCCGCCCTGCGCCCCGCCCCGCCCCTCCGCCCCGCCCCGCCCCTCCGCCCCGCCCCGCCCCGCCCCGCGCCCGGCCACGGTCAGCAGGCACGCCGCCTCCTTCGGGGCCCCGGCCCGCACCCGCCAGGGGCGCCCGACCCGGGAGAGAGCGGCGGCCGCCCGCCCCGCGCCTACCTCGGCGACCAGGGCGTCCAGGTCCGCCTGCGTCCGGCTCACCGCCACCACGCGCGCGCCCTGCGCGTGCAGGGCGTGGACGGTGCTGCGCCCGATGCCTGCGGGGACCGCGGCTCAGCGCTGCTCCGCGCCCGGCCCCGCGCCCGCCCACCTTCCCCGCGCCCGCGCACCTTTGCCTGCGCCGGTGACCAGCGCCCGGCGCCCCCGGAGCCCCAGATCCATGGTGGCGCCGTCAGAGTCCAGCGTCCAGGCCCCGACTGCGGTCCAGACTGGGGGTGCAGCGAGGCCAATCGCAGGGCGACTTCCGGAAGGGGCGGGTACATTCAAATTAAGTCTCCTACTGTGGTGGGGATTGGTCAACTGGGAGTGGGCGTGGCCCGGTGGGCCGGGCTCGCGGACAAGGGCAAGTGGAAAGAACTTTCCAGGACTTCTGGTTTTTATTTTTCTTCCCCCAGTCCTGGGGCTCGAGCTCAGGGCCTGGGCGCTGTCCTTGAGCTTGTTTTGCTCAAGGCTGGCACTCTACCACTTGAGGCACAGCACCT